ACCGCACGGGGGCGAGGCCTGGCGAGGAGGCGAAGGCTGCAGGCGTGAGGTGAAGGCCGCAGGCCGGCCGGGCCGATTTTCGCTATGTAAATATCGGCGAGGGGGGGAGGGATGGGGGACAAGATGGCGGCGGCTCGGCGCCTGCTGCAGGGAACGACTGAGGGGGTTGTCGGGAGGGGGAGCCGCCATCTTGAAAGCGGTATCTGGAGAGAAAATTCCGCTATAGCCCGTGAGGGGGGGTGGGAGAGCGGGCGGCGGAGGCCGCGGTGCCGGTGACGGGCACCGGAGGCCGGGCGCGGCGGCGTGTACGCGCGGAGGGGCGTGCTCGCTCCCTACGGCGGCCATTGCCCTCGCCGCCATGATGAGCGCTCGGGTTCCAGGCGCTCCGCCGCAGCGCCACCTTCCTGCCCTGCCTCCCGCAGCCCCGTGACTGGCTGCTGTTTCCGCTGCATTTCAGCTGAGCTGCCGCAGGCGGCCATCGCCCGGGCGCCGGAGCCATCTCTCTCTCTTCGCCCCTGGCCCCAGACATGGCTGTTTTATCTACCTGAGGGCTGCCGGGGTGGTTGGCTGCCTTAGGACTCCAGGAAATTTTGTTTTGGCTAAGTCAAGTCACACAAAGCTGAGAAGGTGACTTGGATGCGGTTGTTCACCGCTAATCATTGCCTTCTCGAGCATGTGAATAAAGAAATTCTAAATTGATGGGAAAGTTCTCACCACTCTTGACCAATAGTGAAAAAGTGCACAGCACGAAAGCGGAAGAGTAAGATTTTGAAGGAATCTTTTGTATTCATTTCTGTGGAAACAGTTTTCTTGAAAAGCTGCATTTAAGCTATTAGTGATGTTTGCAGTATTTTTTAAAGTTGAAGAATAAGAGCAGAACGTTTTTTTCTTATTGAAGAACAGCATAATGTGGTGTAGTATTTAATTTCCCGTCGAGGTATTTAGATTTCTTTAGTTGCAAAGTTTGATGATGTTCTGTCCCCTGAAGTACTTTTGATTGCGCAGTGTACAACTTTCCTGGTAAACTCAGAACCCCGTGTACACTGTGCTAGTTGCTAAGAAAAAATTTAGAATTTTTCTTGTACACGGTGGCTGCAAGAAGTTCGTTGTTCAGAGGCAGATGACACTAGGTGAAATGTACTAAGTGCTGCGGGGAAGGCATATTCGATTGATTCCTGGACTTGAAGAGAACGGCAAGGTTTCTATTTGGAGCGTCAGGCAGGGAAGGGTTCCTAAAGTAGGTGGCATTTTGAGGTAACAAAGGTAGAACTTTGTTAGGTAGCCGAGGGGGTGGAGAAAGGGCATTTCAAGGTTGAATCTGCCTCCGAAAACGGCTTTTACAGTTTGGCTGAAGTGGATGGCGTAGATAGGGGAGTTGGTAGGAATCGGGCTAGAAAAGGTAGATTGCGGAGGCGCTTGCTTGCCAGGTGGCAGGACTTAGGCTCAGTGGGGGACGCGGCGGAAGAGCCCTCCACTAGTTCAGTGATGACACACTGGAGCTGCGCTCTATAGTTCGTTGGACTAGGACACGTTTCAAAGTTGAGAAATAACCAGTGTTAAGTCGATCAATGTTTTCACTCTCAGGACGACTGCAGGGATGTTCAGGAATTAAGCAGATTTTGTCACTTTTTGAGTGATCTTTCTTTCTCTCCTAATCTCTCACCCCGAGAAACCTTCTGCTCAGTTGTTAGAATTTCTGTGAAAAACAAAGAGGAGGTTCTACCATTTCATTTACCATGGTTGAAAATTACAGGACTAGCGCCGTGAGTTACTTTGGCCGAAATGAGAAATGACCCTGTAAGTGTTCTTAACGATAAAAATTTTAAGACACTTTTGAAAAAAGTAGGTTGAAAGAGTGGTTATTAAAAAGACAGTGGAAAATTAAATAAATAAATAAATAAAAAGACAGTGGACTTCCAGATACCTTTTTTTTAAAAAAAATATTTTTTTAGTTGTAGATGGACACAATACCTTTATTTTATTTTTATGTGGTGCTGAGGATCGAACCCAATGCCCGCCACATGCGAAGCGAGTGCTCTACCACTGAGCTACAATCCCAGCCCCGCAGATGCCTTTTTGCAGTCTGTTTTTCCCCCGTTGAAAGTGACCACTGTTTTGTTTGAGAGGGTAACTAAGGCTGTTTGCTGAGCCAAGCCTTCTTGCTTGTGTTTTGATTAATATTTGACTAATCCACATGCACAGGTGGGGAATATGTTTACTAGAATTTTTTGTAGACCTATAAGTAGCCTAGGAATTCACTTTGAGTTTTTCCATTTTGCTAGATTGCAACAGGTGAGAGTAGTGATGCTCCATGAGAGGAGTGGAAGGACCCAGAGTCTCCAGTTTATCATAAGGGCCATGGTTTAGAAGCCTGAGGTACAGTGCATGGCATGAGGCTGACTTAGAAGCAGGTTGCTAAGGTGGGCTGTGGTTGTTGAGGTGCTAAAGGTAAACTTAAACTTAGAAAACCAATGGCTTTTATGTCTTAAGTGGGAAAGGCAGAGACAACCTATAAAAAACTTCTTTAAAAAAGCTTTGAAGAATCAGTTCTTTGTAAAGCTAGACAGTACAATAGTAAATGTTCCTGCTTAAGATTAAATTAGACTCACTTTGTATTATTAAGAAGACAAATGAGTGTATAGTTTAGTTTCCATCAGAAATGGTTAAATGTAAAATTCTTTCTACCTGAAAGGGCAAACCTTGATAATCTGGAAAACCAACTGTGGAACACCTTTTTAACCAACCATTTTAGATAAATGTGATGTTCGTTTTTAATTTTTTTCCCAGATAGATGCCAATTTCTATTTCAAAAGACGTGCTTACGCATGCTTTCAAAAACTTTTCCCCCTACTTTTTGTAAATACTTACTCTCCAAACCCATTTACATGTGTGTTGTCACTGATTATCTTGTATTATTTGTGCACACTGGCAATTCCAAACTACTACTACTATTACTACTTTTTCCCCCTTCTTAAACTCTTCAGTATGGCCCTTGAAATCCTTTACCCTCAGCAAAGATTACCTAATCTTTTACTTAACTGAGAACGATAAATGGCTATCTGATGTAAACGGTTGTTTGCCTTCTCCTCTATCTCTACCTAGGCTTTCCTCCTTTTCTTTTACCTCGGGAAGAACAGCTCTTCCTGGAGTGCCCTGCTGTGCTGCCCCCACCCTGGCCTGCCTCATTTGGGATGTTCTTTGTCAATAGTGCTCTCTTGCATCTTTACCCTCTTTAACTCTGCGGGAGCCTTTCCCTCTCTTTATAAATATTCCTAAGTTTGCTCATACTTGCAAAACCCTCACCTGTCTTTTTTTTTTTCTTTCACCAGTACTTTCATTTGTTTTCACCCCACTTATTCCTAAATCCAGTATTTCCCAAATTAGGAAATTTGCACAGCATCTTTCTTTAAACATTTATTTTTTAGTTGTAGTTAGACTTTTTTTTTTTTAATTTGTGTTTTATGTGGCACAGAGGATCCAACCCAGGGCCTCATACATGCTGGGCAAGTGTTTTACTGCTGAGCCACAAACCCAGCCCTTGCACAGCATCTTAATGACTGTCATATAAAAATGTTATGTTTCACAAACTCTGTGCCTTCTATGGTGGTATTTCCCTCAAGGTCAATTCTCCACCCATTTTTCTCTGAAATCTTCTCCACTAGTTTCAGTGTCCCTTACCATGCCCACCTTTTCTCCTAGTTTTTCATCTGAAATTGCGGTTGCTTACTGACTATATCCACACAGGTGTCTAAAGTGTCTCAACAGGGATGAATCCAAATTTATATGTCACATAGTAGATGCCCAATATTATTGATAGAAAAAATATTTTTTCCACATGGAGCCCCTAAAACATGTGTTTGTTGTTTTCTTTCTGTTAATGGCACCATTATTTTTCAAGGCTGTCCTGTTGTCTCTGTCTCAAGAACAATGTGGACATCTTTAGTTTAGCATTTAATCTAATGTATTTTACCTGTGTGTTTATATTTTTTCCTAAACTGTGAATATAGACAGCTTCTCATTTATCTTTGTCCATAAATGGTTCCTGGAATATGATCACTGTCTCCCAAAACAATTATCTCAATTATTGGGTGCAGAAAATTTTATGTAGTTGAATAATTTCTAGCTATTCAAAATAAATTATCTAGTCAGTGTGTTCTTTGACCAAAGGGTATTCATATTAAGGCACACCTATCTTGTTAGGATAACAGGTCAAAACCAGGAGCTGTGTAACCCCATCCTCACCCCTTGTCGGATTGGAATATGGCCAGCCTCTTCTTATTCTTGTCAAATTGTTTATCCAAACAACATTTTATAAAATTTGGTTATTTTATAACTGTATTGTAATCAAAGGGAAATATAAGGAAACTGGATAGCCTTGAAATATACAGTCATTAGGCTTTTTAAAAATATGTTTTAGAAGTTTTGACTTATGAAACACTTAAAAATTATTGTAAAGCAAATGTCACCAGATTTAACAAATCTTAATATTTTGTGGTGTGTTTGCTTCATATTTTGTTTTAGTTTAATGGAATAAAATTTCACACATCTTTATCCCATTCCTGTCTTTGCCAGAAATAACCACTGTCCTAAAATGTATGTACCCAAACAAGTTATTGCTTTTGTGTGTATTAACTTTATGTAAGCTGTATCATACTGTGTGCCTCATTTTATGTATTATTTTCACTGAAGAGTGTTTTTGAGATATATCCATGTTATATGTGGATCTAGTTTATTGATTCTCAAAATGTGCTCCAGGGATTTTTGAAGCTCTTTTAACAGTCTTACAGAAGGTCCAGGAGATCAAAGTATTTTTTATAATAGTATTATTTGATTTTTTTTACCCACATTCTCCTGTACATCATACAAGTACTGTGCAGAGGCTACATGACACATGATATAATAGATTGAATGCAGAAAAAGTTATGGTGATCCATCTGTTCTCTATTAAGCCACACATTAAAGAGATTTGCAAAAAGAAAAATACTACTTTGTTTCTAAATATATTTTTTGTTTTGAAAAATAGTTAAATTTTTAAATAAATACTTTCATGTTTACATGTAGTATGCTTATTTTGTCAATTAGTTTTCTATATTTCTGTTTAAATTTCTAACATAATAAATCTCTATAGAGATGAACCACATGATACATTACTGTGGTCCTTAATTTTAAAGAGCTTAAAGGGGTCCTGAGACAAGACACAAGACAAGTTTGAAAATTACTGATCTAGTACATTGATATTACTTACTGGGGTTTATTTGTCTTTCTATAAGGGGCACATTAGGCTGTTTGCAGTTTTCAGCAATTTCAAACAGTGCTGTGGTGAATATCCTTATACGGGGTTCTCTCTTGGGATTGTATTAGAAGTAGAATTGCTACATTGAAGAAGTCTGTGCATTGTCAACTTTACTGGGACTTGCCAGAATGCCAAATTTTATTCCATTTGACACTCCCACCAGCTGTGTATGAGCCTGTTTCTCCAGATCACTGCCAAAAGATTAGATTTTGCAATTTTTTCCCCATCTGTTGGGTATAAATGCTATCTTTTTGCTGTTTTCATTTTGTATTTCTTAGATTACTATTGAGGTTGACCTTTTTTCCTCCACGTTTATTGGCCATTTGAGTGTTCTGTGAATTGCTCATGTGTATCCTTGGTTCATTTTTCTATTGGATTGTTGCTTTTTCTTACTGATTTGTAGATATTCTGGATACTAATGACTCACAGTTATATATACTGAAAATATCTTCGGAGTCTGTGGCTTATCTTTTAGCTTTGTTTAAGGAATGCTTTTTATGTAGAACAACAACAACTTTTTTTTTTTTAAAATCATTTGTGGCTTGTGTTTTCCAGTGTCTTCAAGGAATTCTTCACTTACTCTAAGGTAATAATGATACTATGCCTTTTAATATTTAGGTCATTAATTCTTCTGGAGTTTTTTCTCTATTGTGTGGTATAGGGATCTAATTTTGTCTTTTTCATATGGATTTATTGTGTAGTTTAGTCTTTCTTCCCAACTCCTAAGATGTACTGTATTCTCACATATACACATCTGTGTTTAGTTTATCTCTTCTCGTTTCATTGATCTGTTTGGCTATCTCTATACCACCCTGATTTAATAATGGTAGCTTTATAATTAAATCTTAATTTTTTTCAGGATTATTTTAGCTATTTTTCTCGCTTTGCTTATTTAGGGTTTTTTTTTAGTTTCTATGAAAAATGGTTGGATTTTTATTGCATTTGCATCAAATTTATAGGATAAATATATAAATTCATATAGATATATTAAGTAGTAGAGTTGGTGTTTATATCTGGACATGTGTTGTTTTCGTAGAGTTTTTGCTCAACTCTCAATAGATTTTTTTTGCTAGGTACTATGAAATTTTGGTTATCGTTGTGAATAAGAGTTTCTTTTAGTGTTGGGGATTGAACCCAGGGTCTTGTACATGCTGTTCCACTGAGCTGCACCCCAGCCCTGTAATTTCTATTCAATTTTTGCTGATGTATAAGGGACACTGTGTATCGATCATTTAATGTTGCTGAACTCCTATGACCATGTTTCATAGATACACTTTCCTCCCTACATTTTAATATCTCTGAAATAAAATCTCCAGTTGATGGTGCCCTGTAGTCACTGTTATCCAGGCAGCAGTTATCATTATTTGGGCATGCACTTGGTTAGGGCTCTTAATTTTGTCATCACTTTAAATTTAGAATATGCCCATTGTCGCGTTTTATTTCATGCCAAACAATACAACTGAAGACAGATGAAATTGCTAAGTGGGTGTCTGCCTTGAGAGAAAATCCCATAAGTATAATGGAGCATTTTAAGAAATGCTTCATCCCCCAACACTCTGGTTGGCAGAGGACAGTTTTGTTAGGAACAATTGGAGAGCTTTGAGTAGAAAGCAATCCATTCTAGGATGCTGAATGTGAAGTTTTAGGAATTCCCTACAAATTTCTTTGGCTTCAATTTTCTTTTATATATGTACAAGATATGATAAATTCTGTGTAAATTTGAATTGTCTTGATATGTCTAAAATGAAAATCCTAGATAATAAGGGAACAATAGTATCAGAAAAATTAATGTTTTTTCCTTAGTTGTGTAAAATATAAGGGCTTATTTTACAGTTGGTGGTATCTTTAGATTCAGTGAAATGTGGGAGTAATATCAACTTATAATTCTTTTGTATTTTCTATGTAGTTATGTCTGTGAATAATAGTTTTATTTTTCCTTTCCCATTCCTTTTTGTCTCCCATTTCTTGTTTATTGACTAACACCTTAAATAAAGTGTTAAGTAGAGCACTGATAATGAGCATCCTTGCTTAGGAATGCTTCTAATGTTTTGTCATTACATATGATATTATAGTGAACTTAATTTTGGGGGGGTAGAAATATATTTTTTTAAAAGTCTGGTTCTCTTCTGTTAAGCATTTTAAAATTTTTATCATGAACAGTAGTTGAACTTTTCTAAAGCTTTTAATCTATTGTTATGATGAAGTATATTTATAGATTTTCTATTTTAAACTATCTTTGGATTCCCTGAATATTTGCATACTTTGGTTATTGAATATACGTTTCCTTTTTCATGTAGTTTTTGTGGGGTTCTTTTTTATTTCTTTTTTTTTTTTTTTTTGGTGCCCATACTGGGGATTGAACTCAGGGTTATTCTACCACTGAGGTATACCCTCAGCTTTTAATTTTTTATTATTATTTTTTAAAATTTTGAGACAGGATCTAAGTTGCCCAGGCTGGCCTTGAACTTGTGGTGCTCCTGTCTCATCCTCCCAAGTAAGTAGGATTATAGGTGTGCACCACTGTGCTGGCTTCTTCGTGTTGGTTTTGATAACAAGGTTATGTTGTTAATCTCATGAGTCTTTTTTTTTTTTTTTTTTTGAGATTGGGGGCTCACTATGTTGTCTTTGCTGGCCCCAAACACCTGGGTTTAATTGATCCTCCTGCCTTAGCCTCTCTCTACCGATATATGCCACTGTGCTCAGCTAATCTCATAGATGAATTGGGAGGTATTCCCTCTTTTCTGAAACAGGTCCATTTAATACAGTTAATCTGTTTATTGAACATTAGATAAAACCCATCTGTGATACTGTTTATACTTGGTTTCTTTTTTGTGAGTAGATATTTTTGGTTTTGATTTATTGATTTTTTTTTTTTTTTTTTGCTTCCATGGGATATCTTTATGGCTTTTTGTGTGTGTGTGTTTTTTTTTTTTTTTTTGTCATTTATACAGAGTGAACAATTTCCTAGAAAATTATGCAATTTCAAGGATATTGGTATAAACTATAGGTTTCCTTGATGAAATTTTAAAAATTTAATTTCATTAATTTGTTCATTTTTTCTGATTAGTATTGCCAGTAATTGCCTGTATTTATTATGTTTTTCAAATAGTTCTTTTTATTGGTTCTTTGTATTTCTGCTCTTATGGTTAAAACTTATTTCCTTCTGCTTCATTTAAATTTATTCTGACATTTAAAAAATGTGGCTAGGTGTGGTAGCCCACACCTGTAATCTCTGTGACTTGGGAGGTTGAGGCAGGAGGATCACACGTTTGAGGCCAGACCCAGCAGTTTAGTGAGACCCTTTCTTAAATAAAAAATAAAAAGGACTGGGATATAGCTCAGTGGTAGAGCATTCCTGGGTTCAATCCCTAGAATTGTCTCCCCCCCAAAAAAAGGCTTATTTCATTAATTATTTAATCTGTATTTTTGTGCTATGTACATTTAAAAATGACTGATAGGCAAAAATCAATTGTATTTTTACTAATAATAGACAATTTGAAAATCAAATTTACAAACTAGTAAAATTCATAATAAGGTCAAAGAATTTCTCTGATATGAATCCAACAAAGCATACCAGGACTTTTAATAAAAATGTTACTAAGGGAAAGGAAACAAGACCTCAGTTAATGGGAACAGAGATGATGCTCGAAGACTAGAAGTGTCATTGGTGTAAAGATGTCAGTTCTTGGGGCTGGGGTTGCAGCTCAGTGGTAGAGAGCACTTGTCTAGCATGTGCGAGGCCCTGGGTTGATCCTCAGCACCACATAAAAATGAATAAAATAAAGGTATTGTGTCCAACTACAACTAAAAAATAAATATTAAAAAAAAAAGTCAATTCTCCCTGAATTGATAGATTCTTTGTAGTTCCAATCAAAATCTCAACAGGATAGCAGGTACTGCCTTTCTTCTCTTCTCTCTCTCTCTCTCTTTTTTTTCTTTTCTTGGATAGACCAGTTCTCAAATTTAGGTGGAAATGCACAGCATCAAATATGTCAAAGGCAATCCTGAAACAAATGTTGGAAGACTTACACTACTGTTTATCAAAGCTTATTAAAACAGCAGGTACAAAGCCATATTGACAAATTGAATAGAATGAAGTCTGAAAGCATTTCTATATATGTAAGGTCAGTTAATTTATAATAAAAATGTATGTAGGTTTTGATAGAGGTTAATTAAAATGAGCCATGTGCGGTGATGCATACTTGTAATCCAGCAGCTTAGGAGGCTGAGGCAGAAGGATCAAGAGTTCAATGCCAGCCTTAGCAATTTAGCAAGGCACTAAGCAACTCAGTGAGACCCTGTCTCTAAATAAAATACAAATTAAGGCTGGGTATGTGGCTCAGTGGTTGAGTGCCCCTAGGGTCAATCTCCAGGACCAAAAAAAAAAGAGACAGAGAAAATAAATACTATTGATCCAATATATTCAAAAGCAAGCTTGGTTTCTCAGCAGAGGGATTTTTCATTCTTAAATATTATATAAGAAAACTTCTATCTTCAAGTATATTATTATTTTTTTTGGTCCCAGGGATTGAATTCAGGGGCACTTTCTCACTGAGTTGGTTGCTTAGCCCTTCGCTTCTGCTGAGGCTGGTTTTGAACTCGAGATCCTCCAGCCTCTCTAGCTGCTGGTATTACAGGTGTGTGCCACCGTGCCCAGCCAAGTATATTAATTTTGTATTAGCATGTTTTGTGAATTCATATTGATGTTTTTCAGTTAATTGTTTTGGATTTCCTAGATATATGTAAATAAGTGTAATTTCTTTCTAATGATAATTATGTCTTGCATTTTATTTCCTTACCTTAATTGCTTTGGTTATCAGTTCTCATACAATCCCTTTGCTCCAGCACTGGGGATTGGATCCAGGGGCACTCTTCCACTGAGCCACACCTTCAGTCCTTTTAATTTTTGTTCTATTTTACAGTGCTGGAGATGGAACCCAGTGCCCTACACTTGCCCCGCAAGCACACAGTCACTGAGCCACACCTCTTTTATTTTTTATTTTGAGACAGGGTCTTACCGAGTTGCCCAGGCCTCGAACTAGGGATCTGCCTGCCTTAGCTGGGATTACAGGCATGTCCTACCATGCCCAGAAAGTTCTCATACAATCTTAAATAATAATGGCATTCTTCTTAATTTTGACTTTGGAGGGACTACTTCTAGTGTTTTACCATAGTGTTTAATGTCTTTTTGTTATAAAGTGTAATGACAGAATTCCCATATCCCAGAACACATATTCTAACATGACCGGGTTTAAGATTGCATATACTTATGCATTTTAAAAACAGATTTATTGAGATAAAGCTGTGTTATTAAATTTGCCCTTTAAAATGTACAATTTAGTGGTTTTTATTAGATTAATAGTTGTGCAACCATCACCACTAATTTTAGAACATTTTCATTATCCCCAAAAGAAACACTATCCATTAGCAATCTCTCCCCCCTTTGCCTGCCCCTCAGCCTCTAGAAACCACTAATCTACTTTCTGTCTGGGTAGATTTGCTTATTCTTTTTTGTTGCCATAGTGGGGCTCCAACCCCAGGGGTACTCTACCAGTGAGCTGTACCCTCAGTCCTTTTTACTTATTT